ATACTTGGGGGTAACTTCGCAGTAGCTGTTCATTTTAGTGTCATAAAGGCTTTTCTGCAGGAACTTACTGTTTCCTAGTGAATTACTTAGTTTAGTCATACGGTAGAGTGTATTCTTGAATTGGTTAAAAAGGCCAATTTTCAAAAGATTGATGGGCCAAACTTTGGCCCTATACGGCTTGGATATATCGCTAGACCAAAAATTAGCTCAAAATCCAGAATCCGTTGATTCATCTGTGTACACAAACCCCTGTTTTGATGAACCTATCCCAATGGTAGTCACTGGTACTGGGTGGCCATTGATTAAAGGAGCATGCACCCATCAATCAGTTGAGGTCGGTGAAGAAGTGGTAGGATTCTCGTCTCCCGGAGGGAAAGAAGAAGAAAGTAAAGAGAACTCCAAAGTTGTAGTGAAACTGAAAGAAGATGAAAAGCAAATGAATCGATTCGTTCTGATTCTCTGGCCAATCGATTCGATAAAATTGATGCCCGGGGGAATCCGCCCCGTCACATTCCCACAGCCTGGATTTATGCTCCTGGGAGCTTTTCACACCAGCGCGAAGTTATTCTTAGGAAGTTTTTTTTTCGAATTACTCCAGGGAACCCGTTGAAATCGGTAAACTTCTGAAGGTGCTTGGGCAGTAATCTGTAGGCACATTGTCTCTGTGTGTGTAGGTGTTTCTAAGAATGATCGCGAGCTGTAGTTTCTTCTGGAACAATGCTATGGCAGCGATGTTTGTTAAGCTCTCAAACGGGGGAAAAATCGGAGAAAATCAACACACAACGCCGAGTGCCCGAACATTGCACTAACTCGACTTCGATTCGCACCTAGAAATTCCCCGCCGTCTGTGGGTCTGAAGAGGGTTTATGCCAAGTCATGGATGCCCATGATACCTCCCGGACTGATAGGTTTGACGGAATTCCTTACCGCTTTCGCATTTGATCGAGACGATCTCGTTTCGAGCTCGGATCTCCGCTGTCTCCACTAGAATCTCATTATGAGCTCCGAGCACTTTGATACGGACAAAATATGCCACTCCGGTCGGAAGTTTTGGTATCTGGAACGAGAATAAATGGTAGAATCTTCAAGTAGCCACTGAATGATACCCACCTGCACTCGATACTGGTGATTGGGTCCTTTATAGGGAATAATTCCCGAGTGTACCATCCAATGTTTGTCCTTTTCAGCACGATATTCGACGAGGAAGCCCTTTACATCAGTTTCAGGATGGTCTCCT